TTTTTTTCTTTTTAAAAGATGACTGGTAAGGGGATCTTAACCCTTAGCTTGGTGTTGTCAGCACCACGCTTAGTCAGTGAGCCAACCGGCCATCCCTGTATAGGATTCGCCATCCCTGTATAGGATCTGAACCTGCGGCCTTGGTGCCTTGGTGTTATCAGCACCGCACTCTCCTGAGTGAGCCACGGGCTGACCCTTCCTTCATGTCTTTGTCCAAACATAATCTGCTCAGTGAGGCTTTCCCCAACCACCCATTTAAAACTAATTCCATGCCCAATCCCTAAGGCAATTCTTATCCCTCTTCCCTGCTTAGTGTTCAACTTTGAACTTATTACCATCTAAATGTACGTGTATTTTATTTGTTTGTTGTTGTCATCTGTTTCTTGCCACTGGACTATAAGCTCCATGGGGGTGGGTGGGTGTGGATTCTCATCTGCTTGGTTCACTGCTGTATTCTCAGCACCTGGCATATAGGTACACAATAAGTATTAATGAATGAATGAATTCTTAGTACTTCCTGTTTCTCTTTCTTATAATAGTCAACATTATTATGATTAAACAGTTACTTTTGCAGTACCTAGTGTGTCTCTGTCTCTAGAATGAAACTCAAGGAAGTCTGAGGTTTTGTCTTGCTCATTGCTGTATCCCCAGCACTTAGTAGGTGCTCAATACATATTTATTGCATGAGTGAAGCTTTCTGAAATGCTAATCTAATTATCTTCACCCCTGCATCTACCCTTAAAACCTATCACCCTCAGGATCAAAGCTGAATCCCCTTAGCACGTCATAATCACTTTCCTCTTTTCTCATGTCTCGACACTTTTCTTTTTTTTTTTTGTCCTTTTTTTTTTTGAAACCGGCCGCACCAGTCATCCCTATATAGGATCCGAACCCGTGGTGGGAGCACTTTGGCCCAGACACTTTTCTACCTTGAATATGCTCTGTCACTGTCAGGCCTCTGTACTTACTGTGCTCTTCTTGGAAAGCTCCACCTGACTAACTCTTAACTTGTCCTTTAGAGCTCAGTTGAGGTCGTGTCTTCTGGGAAGCTTTCCAGACCCCTGAAGGCAGGCACGTGTCAGTGGGGGTGGGTGCATAGCCCATCTCCAGCTTAGTCTTGCCCAGGCTTCTGCTGACATCTGATTGTTGTGTGTTGGTAGAAGAGAGGTTGAATATTAGCTCAGAGAGAATGTTAATGTTGTAGAATGTAGAGTAATGAGAATAGCAGTGGGTGAGATGGAGGGTAGGGCAACTAAAAACCAGTGTGTGGGTCACAGGCTGTCAAGACATTGTCCTCTAGGTCCTGAGGTCTCTGGACATTCCAGGCAGGAGCCAAGAGCCCTTGGTTGGTCCCTCTGACTTGCATTTCTCCTCCTTCCTCTCTCTCAGGGGGGGATGTTACCATCACTGACCTACCCCTGGCCCTAGAACAGATCCAGGGCAACGTTCAGGCCAATGTGCCAGCTGGAGGCCAGGCCCAGGTCCGTGCCTTGTCTTGGGGGACTGACCAGCATGTCTTCCCTGGAGACTATGACCTGGTGCTGGGGGCTGATATTGTGTATCTGGAGTCCACCTTCCCACTGCTGCTGGGGACACTTCAACATCTGTGCGGGCCCCATGGCACCATCTATCTGGCCTCCAAGATGAGAAAAGAGCACGGGACAGAGAGCTTCTTTCAGCACTTCCTGCCCCAGCATTTCCAACTGGAGCTGGCCCAGCGGGATGAGGATAAGAACGTCAACATCTATAGGGCCAGGCACAGGGAACCAAGACCTTCTTGACATCACTCCTGTTCTTCTCAACCTCTTGTCCCAATGAAGAAACTGCATATCTCCAAAGCCATATCTCCAGAGCCATAAATGTGAGGACTAAAAAGTATGGATTTCCTTGGCATCTCTCTCTTTCCTCCTTCTCTTCCTCTTTGTTCCCTCAGATACTTTTGGGCAGATGCAGAGAGGTGCCTGCTTGCTAGGAATCCTAGAGCCCTAGCAGCGCTGGTGTTAGAGCACGATGGAGGTTCCCAGCTCCTGCTCTCAGGGGAGGGGGATGAGGGCATCCAGGATTTTTAGGGGTAAGGGAGGTAAATGGAATATGGGAGCAGTGGCTGCAGAGACTGTCACTGATCACTTCCAGTCCTGCTGTTGTCCGTTTATACAGAATAGATACAGAATAGATTTTTTTTTTTTTAAAGATGACCGGTAAGGGGATCTTAACCCTTGATTTGGTGTTGTCAGCACCACGCTCAGCCAGTGAGCAACCGGCCATCCCTATATGGGATCCGAACCCGGGGCCTTGGTATTGCCAGCACCACACTCTACCGAGTGAGCCATGGGCCGGCCCCAGAATAGATTTTTTTTAAAAAACTAAATTCTATGGAATTTTTTAAAGGGAAAGAAATGAGCATTAAAGATCTTTTCTGCATCCAAAGTACTCAGTTTTTGCCAGGGGGGCTGAAAAGGAAGCAGCCCCATGCCACTGTGTCTTGCTTCTAGAGACAAGAGTCTGGTAGGACCCTGGCTCTAACTGGGTCAAGTCCTCCTCCCAGCCTTGAAGCTGGGGATGGGCAGCAGAGCTGTCCTTTGGACCACAGCTTCTTCATCCTTTTTGGAATTGGAGACCTGATGACAAAATATGTGCCATGCAAAAAGAATACTGGACTGACTACTAGGCTCTTCTCATCTTTGCTTTTTCTTTAGTTTTTCAAGCTCCATCAGTCCTTCTTTCCTAATGTGTTTTGCCTTCACCTATTTTCTCTTCACACTGTGGCACTTCTAGTTG